ACTCCCCCTCTTTAAATAGGATACTCTACCCGTACCGAAGCAGAAAGTCTGGGTTCGAGCCTCGGTTCGGAAACGGATTATTTTCGCCCCCTCCTGCCCACCCAGCAGTAATGGGTACCTGACTTTGAGTTGGGGAAGTAAAGGGGGCGTGGAAAGGAAGTGACCACCCTACCACATTATTATGCTGAAGGCCCAGGAAGTTGTCTCACTAACAAGGCAATCCCCAAATGTCCGGATCGGATGCGTGAACAACTTTTTACCCCTACATAAAGTTGAGGTCTCTAAAAGCATCTTCCCCGGACAGAAACTGAACTTAAACCTCCTGTATTTGAGGTAAAAAGCTCAACTTCTACACCACAGACGCTGGCAGTGTATTGTGTGTCTAGTAGGATCATCATCATCATCATCAAGTGCCAGATCTGCGGCAGATATCGGCGATCATCGTTCTCCATTCATTCCTTTTTTTGGGATGCTCTTAAAAAGCTACGTTTCCCTGATCTTTCCCTGATCTTTCCCTGATCTTTCCCTGATCTTTCCCTGATCTTTCCCTGATCTTTCCCCGTACCCATCAGTTTAGGTTCTCCCTGCCTCGTTTGTCTTCAATTTTGCCAGTGAGAGCTAGATGTTTAAGACCTTTATGTCTATTCAGGTGTCTGAAAAACTGCATTTTGCCATTTCCGGATTGTTTTTAACAGTGAGCTTCCCACGTGGGCTTCATCAAGCACTACCTCATTTGATTTCTTTTGCTTCCACGATATTCTCAGAAATCTTCTGAGAAACCACATTTCTGTTTCTTCTATTTCATTTTCACTGTCTTTAGTAACTGTCGTGCATTGAAAGCCGTATAGAAGGGTTGACCACACATAGCATTTCAGCTAGGTCGGCAAGTAACCAAAATGAATATATTAAAATGTAAGGCATCGTGGTGAAATCAGGCGCTCGTCAAAATAATAAGATTAAAGAACATTCTGGCCTTGGGGCAATTTTCTGCGTGTTTCACTTTTTTTAGGATCAAAACCATCTATGTCCATTGAAAGATGCATTCTGCGTCGATTTTACCGAATAGCGTCGATAAGAGGCACCCAAAAAATGCAAATTTGCAGTGTCAAAGGACAATAAAGCTTTGGAAGTCACCAAGCTTTGGCGGCCATTATCTCGCCAAGTTCACCTCTGACATCAGGCGACCCCTACCTCCTTCAATCGCTGATATCCTGACTTATATTCAAGATAGATAGGTATTTATTTTGTTTACAGAAAGCAAGACAAATGAACGGGCTTTAAAATTACAGAAATAACTCAATAGGTCTAAAATTGACGAGCGCTCTCTTCCACTGTGTCGTGACACAAATATTTTACCTCCTTCCAGAAGCTGTCTGTGTGAAGTGAACAAAGGAGAAACGCCAGAGAAATATATACACTGCCATGGAGCAAAAACAATAACGGTACACAGAGGCCATATGTTCAGGCTTCCGTGTTTGATTTACAATCACAATAAATAAATTCTTTAATTGTCTCACGATTCCATTAACTTTTTATGCCTCCCCACGCCTTTTCTGTCTCTGTTTCGCTCGTGCTTTTTTCCATCTATCTATCTATCTATCTATCTATCTATCTATCTATCTATCTATCTATCTATCTATCTATCTATCATCTATCTATCTATCTATCTATCTATCTATCTATCTATCTATCTATCTATCTACCTTAACCTTTGCTTTTTTTCCTTCCAAATTATGTACAATATTGTATGTATTATGTACAGTTTTCTTTGTAACTTCTCCTACAGTCCCTCCATCTCCCCCCCCCCCTCTCTCTCTCTCTCTCTCTCTCTCTCTCTCTCTCTCTCTCTCTCTCTCTCTCTCTCTCACTCTCTCTCTCACTCTCTCTCTCTCTCTCTCTCTCCACTTTCCCCCGACCTCTGCCCCCCCCCCTCTCTCCTTACCCGAACTGAGGTACACACTACACATTACCGACACAGATGTCTTACACACTGTGTCAAAGGCTCCAGGCAATCTGACTGGTATGTCGCTACCTGAGAAGTACAAAGCTCTATCTGCACATTACCTCATTCTGAGAAAACTGACGTTCAAAAATAATTTTGAGCTTCAAAACATGTCAAGGTTTTCTGAATGTAGATCTAGTTTTTTGAATAGCTTGACAACGACTCCGAATAATCTTACGATTTTGATAAAGCTGGTAGACCATTTGGTTTCTGACCTTAGAAACTCAAAACGACCAAAATTGTCTGAGATAATTTAGTGACTCTACGGTAACGATTTGTGCTCAGTTTGACGTTAAACCGTAAGGCGTAAACACAATTTGGCTGTGAGAGTGTGAACCTTTGAATCCCGTTGTCTCAAAACTGCGCGTTATTGCATGAGAACCCAGTTGCTTTAAAGGCGTTACGTGGAAACTGTGATATTACTTTTTAAAAACAAGTGTTTTTACTCCGCCATCGACACAGTTTGGGTCATTTAGGAAGCGGGCCTGCTTCCAAAATAACTGCTTCCTAAAGTATCTAAATTGTAGCGTAAAAACACCTGGCTGTCGGGATACAACATACCGACTGAGAGAGAGACTGGGATACTCAATAAAAGTTCCTTCCACTATAGCGCAACACATAATACCCTAACGGCTACCCCACAGACCAAGGACACTCAGTGCTGAGACGTGAACATCTGGATGGTGGAGCAAAGACAAATGGAGCAATCATAATAAATTCTTGAAATTACCCACGGGATTAACTAATCGCTACCATAGAACTATGACGTTCTATCTGACATTTTTGGCCATTATGAGTTACTAAGACCGCGAGGTTAGAGACCAAATGTGAGGCAGCGTGGTGGAATCAGGCTCTCGTCAAAATAATTAAATCAAATAAAACAGCAGTTTTCTCCCTGTTTGACAATTTTTATCAAATTTTTTATTTTTTTTGGCTCATCACTTTTAATGTCCATTTACAAACACATCCCTTTGAGGATTTCACCAAAAACGTTGATTAAATGCACAAAAATATAAATATACAGTTTCCATGTACTCTCCAGCTTGGAATTTACCTAGCTTTGGCGGCCATTTTCTCGCTAATTTTACCTCTTAAATCAGGTGACTCCCACCTCCTTCAATCCAAATTCTCTCCACTTCTATTGAAGATGGATGGGTAATTTTTTCATTGAAAGCAAGACAAATGAACCAATGATACCAGTAACTCAATATGCCCAAAAATTGACGAGAGCCTGATTCCACAACGATGCCTCACAAATGTTCTATCTGCTCTGTCAAAATGAGAAGATTTTCGGAGTCGTTATCAGGATACTCAAAGAATTGCTTGCATAAAAGGTTGACGTGTTGTGAAGCTCAAAATGATTTACGTCAAGTTTCTCCAAATTAGGAACAGACCAGACCGAACTTTGTCATTCTAGACTAACGATAATATGCCATAAACCATACCTAACGCGAGTCTTGTCAGAAGTTCAGACGAAAAATGTGTGGGTTGCAGTGGGTGGTGATAAGGGTGGGGATAAAATTCAGAGTTGTAATTAATGAAACTACAGGCAAATTTTCCATTGTACAGAAGAGAAGTGACTGTCTTAGACAGGTGGATGTCTTGGACTATATC